TTTTCTTTTAGTTTCGTCTTTAAATTTGGTGCTTTGGTTGGTTTTTGAGAAAATGGTGAAAGGAGAAAAGAAATTGGGATTAGTAACTTTCATTTAAGTCTCAACTACTGGATAAAAAGATTTGGATTAGTCTAATAATTTCCTATTCGATGCTTTAATTGCTTTTGTTTCTGTTGTTTTTGTTTTGTGTTTATGTGCTAAATGACATATAAGCTAAAATTAGAGTAGTGGTTTAGAATTTTTTTGGGGAATATGATACTTAGAACTTTGCTGTGAAATTAGGGCAGGATTAGATGGCTATGCCATAGTTTGATAGGATTTTTTTATGAAACATTAGGACTACAGCAAAAAATGAAAAAATAAAAATAAAAATCTGCAGTATTCAGTAACAGGCATTGCTCAGTCAGTGTCCAGTGAAGTGAGGTCCTAGAAAATGAACACACTGTCTCCGTCATGAACAAAGATAGTTTTAGTTCAATTTAAGAATACAATTAGCTATCCTGGTCTGCTTTCCCTAGGTATCAGTGTTCTACCAAGGTCTTACTGGTGAAGATATAATTTTTTCCACTTTCATTAGACATGATTTCCAAATCTTTCACTTACGAATTTAGAACTGGAATTCAGGACACGGTCACTTTCTTCGTTGTGTTTCCAACATTAACTTGTCAGCATTAGTTTTCAATTTGTCATGGTTGAGTTAAAAATCCCTTAGAATTTTCTAAATTTCTGAGTTATAAAGATACATAGATGGAATATAAAGAATTACTCATTGTTGTCTTCCAACATAGTTAAAGAATTGGATGCAAAAATAGAAATAACTGCTAATGACAGAATCACTAAACTGTATAGGACACAAAGTGCCATCAATATTGGCTGTAAGATTATTAACATTTGGGCATAATTGGTTTTGAAAAGTCAATCCACCAAGACATTTTTGTTCTTTCTTTCAGTCTAAAAACAAGCAAAGCCCAGACTTTGAAAGAGGAGTAGCTTAAAGATCCAGAATGGAAAAGCAAACTTACCCTTTATAACTGGATTAAATACTTTTAACCACCTCGCTCTTTCCCCTCTTCAACAATTTCAAGTTGATATTTTTGAAGTCCTTCAAGGAGAGGACTCTTTTGGGGAATTTCCTTGCTGGGTTGCTTTTATGTGGCACAGACAATTTCTGTCATTTGGAGCTATAGGAGTAATTGATATGATTGTTGCTGTGGTATATGTTATCTTAACAGAATATGTGGCAAGGTTTTATTACAGCCGGCCGGCGGTAACTTCCCCCTGCTCTTCTCAACAATTTCAAGTCGGGATTCACTTATGACCTCGATATTGATGATTTTAAGCTTGCTAAAGTTAATTATGCCCTAGAAACCATTTGAATTACCAGTCTTTTCGAGACATTTTGGTTCTGTAAAGTTCACTTTGAATAACAATACCAGTTAATTATGCTTTTTAAGCTTCACTTCTTCTTTATTCTTCACTATGCAGAACTTCGCTTCTGGTTTTAAAAATATGCAATTAATTCATATCAACTTCCATGTTGATAATATTATAACACATGTTTACGAAGCCTGCTTATTCTCTCTTCTTTTCCCAGGAACTGTAATAGTTTAGGAGGCTTAATGTTTAGAAAATCTCAGTTGGAATGTAGAGAAAAGTATTTGTTGCCATGAACTTCTAACATCTCGTTAAATATTAAATTAAAAAACGTAAAATGATTAAATAATTAGTTTTTAAAACAAAAAAAAAACTAATCAATTCGTTTTTTAAAACTAAAGGGATTAATTTTTATGAATTCAATATCGAAGGCTTTGTTGGTGGAGAATTATTTCCTTAATAAAAGGAAGCTAGAAACTTAAATATGCCAACCTTTTAGGACAACATAATCGCTCTAGGGGGGACTGTCCTTCAACAAAGGGATTGTCCACACATTCATGTGCAACCCAAAAGGGCCATGCACTGTATTGTCTGAACCATTAGACCTATCCAGCAGGCAGTAGCTAGCAATATTGAACCAACTTTTTTAAATTAAAGGCTTTGTGTGGATTTTTTCTTTTTTCTTTTTTTTAACTCATGCACTCAATGCTCCTATTAAAACTATTCTGAAATTCGTAACCTTTTATTGTAAAAGACAATTTCTCTGTCTGAACCATTAAGAACTCTTTGATGATCTTTGTGTGGAGTAAAACCTCATATGGCTACAAAAATATAAGGTTACACACTAGAAAGGATTTGACAATACAAGCCAGTGTGCTTGTTGGGGGGCAGTGATGCCACAAAGGAAACACAATGGGCCCACTTGTAGCCCAATAGGCTTTATTCTCATGTACCATGCACACATATGAATTGAGGATCTCCCACTAAAGAAGCAAGAATAATATATTTGTGCTTGTACTAGATTGACAATTTTTCAATTAGAATTTTAAAATATTTGGTGTTTTTTTTTTTTTTTTTTTTTCCTTCTTGTAAGCAGGTAATTTCAACATTTTCACTTATTTTCACCCATCCAATTTGGTAGCTCTAAAAGAAAAGAAGGTTGAGGTTATTATATTTGGTTCTTTAACGATTCGAATTTAATTAAATCAACCTCTTTATCTTAATTAAAAGTAATTTCAAATATTTTTCAAGTCTCATTATGATAGTATCATTCAATTAGAAATAAAATTAGATAAAAGGGTTCAATCACCCTTAATGGGAAAATTATCGTAACACAGATTTGATTATTAAATTTCGAAATCCCTTTTAATCCGAATATATATAGCTTCTTGAATCTGACCAAAAGCTCATCCGTTGAATTCCTAGTAAAGTTAGAAATAGTGGATTAATTTCTAACTAATTTCTAACTAGGGGTATTAAGTCTGGCTTTCTTATATCTCTAACACTAACAACTTACCATTGATCAAACAATAAGATGTCTAATAGTCAAAAGGGTTTGCTCTTCCTTTTTTTTTTTGATTTTTGAATTCAAATATTAGAATCGGTATTTAAGAAAATTTATTAATCTCCTCTTGATGCACAAGTCTTATAAGGGGGAATATGTCATTAAAATTGTTTTAAAAAAATTAGTTTTAATTGATGTGTAAATTGATCTGAAAATATCTTTACCTTTTAGCGAAAAGAAAAAAAATACTAACCATTAATCATTTCTATATATATATATATAAAAAAAAAAAAAATCGAAGCCCCAACAGTAAAAAGTCACATTTCATCCTCCATCCTCACCTTGTAGGGCAAATAATCTTTTACCTTATTACCGAAAATAATCTCATGGATTAGTTTAATACCATTCCTTCATTCATAGTTGACAGGAAGACCAAGATTAAGGCTAAATTATAAAATACTTTTCAAAACTTGAACTACAAAAAAATAAAAAATTTTTTATCTGATTTACCATTTAAACAATATGATTTTTTAATCTATCCATTCTCTTATAATTTCATTGAAAAACTGATGAAAAAGTCCTTAGAAATCCTCTCAAGTCCTCTCTTTTTTCTATTAATAAACATTTTTGCCTTAGTTTGTGGGCAAAACGATAGGAATTGAGAGGGTTTTAATGAGTTGTTTTCTGCCAATTTCTCAATTAAAACTCTAAAGAAAAGAATAAAGAAAAAAATTATATTGTTAAAGAAAAAAAATCAATGATTTTTTAGTTCTGGCAGTATTTTTTTTTTTTTTCATTCAAGCTTTTCGATTGTGACAGAGATTAAATTCTACAATTTTGACAATTTACATCAATAATAACAATCTTTTATACTAATTTATTACTTTGTTATAACCTTTTCAACCTTTCCCCCAAGTCCATAAAACCTGACGTGCAAGCTGAAAGTGACCAATGCCAAGCAAAAGCATAAATAATTTAAATTACAAATTCAGCTTGTCAACATAGCAATCTATCACAGAACAGTCCTGCCCGCCACCGATTTCTCTGAGATACCGTATCTCGAGATATTCTGAAAACTACTGAGACCAAAAACCGAAAAACACTGTTTCAGACATCACTCAGTCCATTTTTTTGACATATACTCACAAAATAAATAAATTATAAATTACTTCCTCTACTTTCGAAAAATAAATTAATTAATCCCTTGTCAATCAATCACAAATGAAAAAAAAAAAAAAGGAAAGAAGTCTTTACTGGAGAGGCTTTGCACCTGAAATAAGGGCAGAAGTTTATTTTTCTTGATTTTTTTTATTGTGAGAAAATTTTAAAGGTTTAATATTTTAGAAAAAATCACATACTATACATCCTATGACAATACTAACAATGATTTAATTTTTCAACCGAAATTTTATTTTGATAAATGATGAAGCAGTTGTATGGACATTAACAAGTCACGTAAAATTCATGAAAACATAACACGTAGACCTTAACAAATCATGTAAGATACACATATACACATAATTGATTTTTCATATTACTAATTACATAAATCTTACCTTACTTATCAAAATCTATGCCATATTTGTATGAACTACCATGTTAATATTGATCGAAATTTAAATTAATGCTTATATTATTATCAGATACATAATTGATAATTTTTCTATACAATTTTTTTAAAATAAAATAATATAAATAATGATTTTCTATAACATTAAATCAATTTTAAAACAAAATAATTAATTTTTTAAATAAGAATTAATTTATTTATTTTTTAAAACTAAAGGACTAATTTATGATTTACTATTCCCGCCAGATTCTATTTCCCAAAACAAAATCAGACCTGATTTGATAGAGAATAGCCTACTGTTGGCCAGTCCCCCCTGTCGTAGCCGCCATGTCACCATAAAATGTCTGAACTAACTTTACCCTCTCACCTTCAATGCCTCAAACTTTAAGGTATCAAAAACCCCTCAAAAAAAAAAAAAAAAAAACCCAAATTTCAATATGACATAATACCTCCACAAAATAAAACAAACTTTGGATTATAAAAATAAATTTTTTTTTCTTTTGACAGGATGAACAAATACATGTAAGACATTACACATCACTATCAATCAAGTCAAAATGGACCGCCAGAAGAAGATGGCTGCAGAGATGACTGAACCTGCAGCAAGTGGTGATAGCAATCGGCGGCGGTAGGTCTGTGCTCTGGGTTCTGGTCTAGGCACCTATTTTGCAATTCTCTAAGCATTTTTGGCACCCCATTTGGACCTAAACCACAAGTCTTCAACAAATGACCAACACCCCACACATCCACTTTCACCCCATGCATTCCTCTTCCCATCTCTGGTGCCTGTCTCCCACGCGCCTCCACGATGCCGTGTGCCGGGTAGAGTTGCGGTGCACCGACAGCCTCGTCGAACCCAGAAACGAACCATTCGTTCTCCCTGTCGCTTCTTCTCATTACCTTGTCCCAACTCAGGTCTCTATGCATGAAAGATAGGTCATGGAGTGCTACCAAAGCTTGTGTCACGTATTTTAGTGCCTCTACGAGTTGTTCACAGTTGTTTGGCTTAAATTTAACCCCTCGAGGCTTAAAAACCAAAGCCAAATCTGTTTCTGATGATTTGTAGATGAATTCTGCATGTGGGATTCTATGATCAAAATAATCGTATATTTCTTTCACTGCTGCCCATTTTCTTTTGCTAGAGAAGAATCTTGTCACTGTATTTGGTGTCATTTCCATGATGTTTCCATTACCCATGTCTACTCTTTCAAAATCACTGAAGGTTAATTGCTTGTAAGTACCACCAAGGTTGAAGTTGTTGAAACAACGATCAGCTAGTAATGGCAATAATCCAGCAACTCTATAACATGGGACTAGGGCCTTTAGCCTTTCGACTGGTGATGATAGGTCTAATGAGTAAAGATCAGTACGAATAATGCGATCTTGTGATCTACATAATGCACAAAATGTTACCAAGTAGCCAACAGCATAGTAGCCTAGGATGTAGGGGAGGTCCAAATAAGTCCACAAAAGCTTCTCCACTACAGATGATGAGGGATCAACTTGACCTTCCCTTAATCGGTCAGTTTCTTCTCCTCTCCACAAACAAAAGTTTCTAACAAACCCAGTCACATTTGGCCATTGATCTTGTAATGTATCGACCATTGGCGAAGAGGGTTGTTTTCTAACAATAGTAACTTGGACAGAACAAAATTTGGACACAATCCTATTGATGCAATCATCCCAAAGGCCAATGAAAGAGTCTCTACTCGAGGCAGTTGCTCCACTTATACTAGGGTTAGTTCTGATAATTGGGCTTAAAATATCAGAAGTAATACCTCTACAATCTAAGAGATCATTAGAAGTTGCGAAGAAGAGTTCTTTGGCTTGGGGTAGGTCCCTGTACACATCTTTTCGAAGTGGGAATCTTAGTTCTTCTGGTGGTGGCTCTTGTAAATACCATGAAAGCTCAAACAAACTTGGAAGTGTTGTTGGTGGAACTCTAAGACACCCCACATAGTATTCAGTTGGATCTTGAAATTCCCATGGAGGTACTGTCCAAAAGGCAACATAATAATTATATCCACCATTTAAGAATTAAGCCATAACAATGCCCAAATTAAGTGGCTAGTTAATTTCCTAACCACAAACCTCGAATGTAGCTCTATAGCAAGGACATGACATGAAATGAGAACACTGTATATAGAAGTTTATTCATGAATTTATGGACATTAGACCGAAAGGAATTGGGCTTACATCTTATTGAGGGTTCGGTTAATGGAAGCTGAACTCTTTCAATGAAACCTGGCATGAGAAAAATAGAAAACCGTTAGATGTAGATTTCAAGACTGCCACTTTTAAGAAAGAAAATGAACATAATAAAACAAAATAATAAGTACCAGAAGAAGTAACAGAAGCTGAAGGAGAAGACTTTCTTCTGCCAAAGACTTTAACTTGTTGTCCAGAAACAAACTTGTCAACTGAAAAACCTTTAAGAGCACCATCTTCAAATGCTTCCATGGTGCAAGCAATCATAGAATCATCGAAGAAAGTAAGTTCATCTGCATTCAAAAAGCTTGATCCTTGAAGCTTAACCCTCCCTCTATGTTGCTCTCCTTCTTCACCCCACAAACTCACTGATTCTTCCCATGTCATTCTTATTTTACCAATTCTACGTAGTTCCTTTGAAGATGAAGAAGAACCTGCTGCAACATCCATGGAAGTATCAAACCCTAGTAAACTTCTAGTACCATGGAAGTAAGCTTCACCTCCACTTGTCATAACCAATTGTTTTGTCCTTGCTGCCAAAGATCATGTAAAGTTTCATTCTTTAGACAAAACAACCACAAGTACTGTAAAAGATTGAAACTTGATCACTGATTAATCATTGTTATAAAGTGCATTATACCTGTGAGTGAGAGATCAACCTCTTTGAAAGGAGGGGGTGGAGGGAGAGGTCTTGCAACAGCAAGAGAAGTTTCCCTAGTGCTATCATCGCCAGAACCAATAACTGAAGGTCCTCTGCTTTGCGAAGTTCTCATTCTAGGACCCATAAATTGTGATAATTCATCAAAAACTTCTTCATCAAACGAAGCAGGCAATCTATGTACCTTTCTCTCAAAGGGTGAAAGTCTAAAATAACTCTTCCCCATTTTTTCTCTCTCACCACCTCTTTCCCATTCATAAACCTTCCTAAACTCCCCCAGCATGTTATCCCATTTAGTACCTGCAGTTTTTGCATCTCTATTAACACCATGTCGATTCAAAAAATCTGCTACTTCTCTATCTTTATCAGCTCTAGTTTTCCCTCTTGTTGATTGCACTGCAACGACTGCATCACCACTAGCGACTTGACCCGTAGTGGTTTCTGGATGCTGATCAGTTCTTAAAGGAAAATCAGACCCACCTTGGTATTGGATCCTCCAAGCCCTGGCTAACCATAACATCTCATTGGGCTTCCAAACTGGGCTTACATATTTTCCTTTTCTAAATTGATGTTGATATTGTTCTCCTTCCGGTTTGCTTGTTTCTTGAGCGGAAGCTGCAGAAAGTGAAGGGACAGGTGACTGTAAAGGGGATGAGTTCGTGTCAGAAGAGGAAGCTGCTGCTGTTGCTGTTGCTTTGTGAGGTTGCTTTTGTTGGGTAGGGTTTATGGTTGGTGATGGGGTTGAATCGGTTGAGACAACAGTGGCCATTTGAGCTTGTGTTGGTTGTTGTTGCTGCTGTTGTTGATGATGAGATGGTGAAGGTAATAGCTTCCATTGTGCGCTAGTGTATCTTGGTCTCTTGGGGTTTATTGTTTCAAATTGCTGCTCAAAAGGAGAGGAAGACGTTGCACCAATTGGGACAAAAAGAGGGGGAGAGATGAAAGGAGCTTCCCTAACTACAGCAGAAGGTGGCTGTTGATGATGATGAGGTATTAGTTCTGTCGATTCCTCAAGTGCGTCTTTCGGAGAAGATGATGATTTTTGTTGTTTTTGTTTCTTTGTTGTTTCTCCTTTGTTTTCACCCATCTTAAAAATGGGCCCTAACAAAGACCTTGAGCCAAAGAGAGAGAGAAAGAGTCTTTAGATCAAAACTAGAACAAGAAGAACAAGCACCATTTCCTGTTAGACTAAATTTGGTTTCTAAATATATACTTCCTCTCCCACATCCATCTTTTGTTTTCTTGTTCTAACACTTCAAAATGGGTCTGTGTGGTGCTCTTATGGGCTTTGGCTCCCTACCTTAGCCTTAAAAAGGTCTAAAACAAAACACACACACAGAAGATGCAAATCATAATACTAATTGAGCAAAACCAAAGTAAAGCAACAGACAAAGTAGAGATCGTGGAACTGCAATGAATAAGACCTTTCAGAGGATTAAATCAATTTAAGGCTAGTAAGCAAACACACATTGCAAATTTGATGTTTTTATCTTGACACGTAAGTAAAGAAGAGTACACCATGGTAAAATTGTGCATGATTAGAGAGGGTAGTGACTGTACTGAAACTCAGAAGCACGGCTCAATAGATATATATATATATATAGTAAAATAAATATCAAAGAAGAACTAAGTGAGTTAAATTTTCTCACATACTGTGAAAGGGCATAAGGCAAGTGTTTGCTTTGGTAGAAAAAAGAGCAGAAAAAAGAAAAAAACAGAGACGCTTCCCGCGAGGAGTGAGGGATTGAAGAGTGAGTGGAGACTTGAAGAGTGTGTGTCTGTGTGAGAGAGAGAGAGAGAGAGAGAGAGAGAGAGAGAGAGAGAGTCTTTTTGGTTGGCAGAGTCAGATGTGGACACATCGAGTCAAGGGCTCCCTCTCCAATCACTATTTTTCTTGTCGTCTTTGCCTTATTTTGTTTCTTCCTGTTGTTTCTTAAATTTTTCATATTTTTAATACCTAAGAAGCATTTGTTTTTTATAAGATCTTTTACAAAAAAAAATAATAATAATAATAATAATAATAATAATTCTGATTTTCTTGCATTTGTTTTTCGTAAAAATATTTGATAAAATTGGTCAATCTAAAATGTTTTATAATCAACTTTAAATTTTAATTTAATTATTTTAAAAATAATAATTTATTCATAATATCAAATTGACCACATCACTGCTGTGCAAGCGTTACTGCCATGATCGCCACTATTCTACCAACATCATTTTTACCTCCACCATAGTCTATCTTTATCGTCATTTTACTATCATTGTATTTTTTTTATCATTATTTATTAAATATTATTAAAAAAATGATATAAGATGTTTTATCAATAAAATATTTTTTATTTGTAAATTGTTTTACACAAAACAAGCATTTTATGATCATGGTCATGGCAAATAATATAGATGTCATTTACTAATTCCTTATTAAATTGTGAAAACTAATGTTAATATGGTATTAGTACGTTATATAGAGTCATGACAATGATCTAGGTAGCCGATTAGTGAGCCGAGATTAAAGAGATAGCACCTCTTGCGAAGGCTTATGGGTAAAGCTCCTAAAAGGTTGATCCATGATATATTGGGTCACGTATTTTGCCCATAAGATTTATTTTAGTAACTCTAGTTGTCCACGTTTTAAATAAGACAATATCTCTTATGTTTATTTTCGTCAATTAAAAAACTTTAACAAGAATTCTTAGTGCAATTGTAAAGTACGCACAATTTATCGAACTATATGTAAATCTTATATTGTGTCATTATCTCTCGTTTTTCTATTCTATTTTCCAACTTGATTCGTTTTTTAACTGTTCTTGTCATTAAAAAAAAAGATGAATCCATTATGATGGAGTTCCCGGAGAAATCAATCCACTTGTTCAATGGTTTTTTTTTCCAAAAAACAAAAAACACAACTAATGAGGGTTTCGAGTCATGACTAAACCGATTCGAGTACAAATAATTCAATTGATTGTGTCATGTTAATCCCATAAGTTAATTATTTTTATTAATAGATAATTATCATTTATAATTGGGTAAAAATGTAATTCCATAGGCCTTTTCCTTAAGAATATAAAAACAGTTCCAGCATATTTCATGTATTTTTCATGCTTAAACATCATAACCCATGGTGCTCTTTATTCTACCAAAAAAGTTATTGATTGTACAGTTTCTCAAATATGCCCTCCGTTATGTTACTGATTCTTTAAATGGCACTAGAAACTTCATTGAGATCCCTATTTCAAAAAAAGAAAATTACAAATAGATCCCCTAACATTGTATTTGTATGCGATTGGGGAAGAAAGGTCTATATCCCAACTAATTGAATTCTTTTTTTCTTTTCCTTATCTTATTAATTTGTGTTTCTTCTTTTGTTTTCATGTTAACAAGAAATGGGATCTAAGCATGATTCCTTATCTATCTTCACGAAATAACTAATATACATATACGTTAGATATTCCGTGATTTCATTTTTCGGAAAAGAGATAGACACATAAAAAAGAATAATTATATAAGGATCCATAAAAAGTGATAAAAAGATTTTCACGTTCATTCAAAAAGATTTTCACGTTGGTTCAAATTTCTTTTTAAATTTTCCCTCTCCTATTTTTCTTTTCGCTTTGTGTCTATCTTTTTTATAGAATAACTTACACTAACTACTCCTTAAATATTATAAAATTTCTTAACTTCGAACACTCGAAGTAAAAACCTCACCATACTTATCAATTGTCTTTTGGTTCTGTTATATCGGGTAGGATATTTTTTAGCCACATTTTGAGTATTTACATTGATTCTGTTTTCAATTTGGATTTAAATTACTGTTCATCTATACTTATTAGTGCATTAATGAAAAAACTTCTTCTTTTTATTCCACGATCACATATATATATTTTCTTATCAATTTGCATTTTCATCAAAATCAAATCTTTTCATCCAACGATTTTATAGATATAATAATAACCTGATGTATTTAGATGAATAAATTCTCTTGAATGTTGGCATCAAGGATTCAACTCAAAAGGTTAGAATTCGAAAAATAAAAAAAATACGAGTTCTTGACTGTTGATTTATTTATTTAATTTACACGTCTAATACTCTTAGTAAAATTAATTTGTTAGAATTCTGTAATTTTTTTGTCAGAAGGAACCACTATCGTTGACTACAAGCTTTTTGATTTCTCGACTACTATTAATCTACCTCTAGGAGCTATAAACTCACTTACCACATCACACAAAACCTAGTGACAGATATTAAATTATACTTAAAATTAACAACACTGTTGGACCTCGTTTTCTTTTTCCTTTTGACTATTTCATTTAACAAAAGACTTTGCTACTTACCTAAAAAAGGCAGACAATGCTTTAAAGTTGTAATCCTTAAATTCTACACCCTCCTTCCCGCCCAAACCAAAAACACCAAATAAAAAACACCAGCTAGGGTTTTTGTATCAGGAAAAGAAAGAGATAAGGACTTTATACTCAGTAAAGAATGGCTAAAGAGCAGGCTGGGAAATGCATGCAAGCCGGGGTAGAGAGCTGGCATGCAGTAGTACTCGACGAATCAAGTTCCAACAAAATACTAGACAAGCAGAAATTAACTGTGTCAGCTTGCCCTAACTTTTCTGATCTTTTAGCCCCTTCCTCAGATCCCTCCCTCACTCGATCGCCCTCTTTGTCTGCAAGATTCAATAAGTCTGCTTTCTTGCATGTTTAATTTCTTGAAATTTACTTTCCTTACATGTTACTCGGGTGTGGTATTATTGCTCATAGATTGGAAGCTCCTATTTATTGCAATGTTGTGCGAAATTTGGTAAAATTATCACCAATTGTTATTCTACAATTTAAGGCTTATAAAGGTGTCAGTGATATGCTGGTCTAGTGTCAAAATAATCATACGGTTCCATAGTAGGGTTCTGCTGTCATCAGTAATTCCCACCAAACAATGTTTTTTAGAAAGGAAAAAAAAAAAAAAAAAAAAAAAACACTACTTGACAGGGAGATACTTTCGATTTGTACTTTTAACTAAGGCTTTGTGCCATCAAAACTATATTACCCATTGTACTTTGGACCCTCCATCAAGGAAGGAGGTTATTTATTTACATATTTTTAAGTGCGAGTTAAGAATTTTAAATGAGAAGGATTACGTTGCACTTTTATTAGGTGTATATATATATATATATATATATATATATATATATTAGAAGATTCTTTTAAAATATTATTTTAAATTAAATTTAGAATATTAAAAATAACTAATAGAAAATAGTTGATGTTATATGTGTAGATATATATAGTTAATTTATAATAAAATCAATGATCTCAATATTTTTTTTCTATATATCATTATCATACTCGCACAAATTAAAAAAAAACATGTTTAAAAAAAAACTTAAATTGTAAGGAATATATTGAAGCTAATAGAGTGCAATAAAAATAATTTAAAATTTTATTTCAAAAAAAATAATTATATCAAGAATAAGGTAAAGAAACACGTGAATTATATTATATATTTTTAAAAAAAATATTGAGAATTCATATATAGAAAAAGATAAATCATATTTATTAACAAATAACATTTCATAAAAATAAAAAAATTAATTTGATAAGAATTTTTATAATAAATGACAAATTTAAAAGATTAATTTTAATCAATAATAAAATATAATTTGATATATGTGTTTGTTCTAAAATTTAAAAACATAAGAGGCCAAAAACATCTTTTAAAAATATGAAGAGCAAAAAATATATTTTAAAAAAATATGACAATAAAATGAACTAAGTTAAAAACATGAGTGTTAAAATATTTTAAAAATATGAGGATTTAAAAATATATTTTGAAAAAATAAGAGACCAAAAAGAAATGACGTATAAAATTTTAAAATGAACGTTCAAAAAACTATACAAAATTACGAAAATGCTATTGTAAAAAAAAACACAAAACTTCCACTCCATAAACAGAATAGTGATCTAGGACAAATGAACAGTATTTTACTGTTCATTTGCCTCAAATCTTTTAGTGCACCAAAGATTTTAGTGTTTTGCTTAATTAGAAGAACTGAACTTCTGAGAAACTTTTTATTGTCCTTTGAAGCTTTTTATGCATCATCGTATGTTCCTGAAAGCTCAGTTCCTATCCAGGTCTTACAATTTGGATGATTTCCAAGAAATATTGCAATTGGATTTGAGATGACTTTGCAACTAAGGAACAGATGAGGTAAGATACCCAAGGGCATATATCTTCTTTTCAGTAATTATCATAGTTTGTGCAGAACGAAAGGGAGTACAACAAGAGAATAAAATCAAGCACAGGCAAGGACGTCCATGGCAGCACGCCTAAGGGCTTGCTTTACTGTTTTCCTATCCTTTACTCGTATGGACATTGATCTAATCCATAGTTTTGGGATGACACATATAATATATTTTATTGGTTTTCAATCAATTTTTTCAAGCCCTTTTTTTTTTTTTTATCCTCTAAGGCGCCTTTAATCTAAAAATTCATATTAATATTTCGTTATCCTATCGGACGCACAAGGCGACCGAGATAATTATTCAGAATTTTTTTTTTCGTATATAAGAATTCGAACTCGAGATCATTTACTTAAGCGATTAGAATCATCTTCACTCAATTCAACTCTTTTAAGTATATTCAAGCCCCATTTAAAACGGACATTATGAAAATTGTGCGAATATAAATGAATTAACTTCCCGTGTGTGTGCATATATATATATGTGTGTGTGTGTGGAAATCTTGATCATTTTCTCTTAAATCATTGTGAATTATAGCATACTCGGGTTAGTCGTAGAATGTTGTTAAAAAATAATATAAATAAATTATATTATAATAATTATCAAATATTTAAATTTTTGAATTAAAATAGTTTTTTGTAACAAGATATCGAAGTCTAAATAACCAAACGATCTCTTCTAATTAAAATTAAATAATTAAACACAAAATAATAATGAATCCGTGTAAATTTTAAACTCAAAAGTCTTTCATTTGAGGAAGTATATTAAAAATTAATGTAAAATTATTATTGGAATATTAACTAGTAGTTTAAGTTTTTGGGTTGATCGAGATGGTTTTCCACCTCAAATCTTGATTTTTTTTTTTTTTTTGGAAAAAAGGAAGCAAACAGAAATTCATGGAAAATCAATTTTCATGGAAGCAAAATTCTAAAAACTCGTGGTCAGGTGATCATATTTCGTCTTCTTTGTATGATATTCCAAAATTAATATTTTAAATACACTTTCTATTCTATATACGTGGGAAAATTAATATTTTGCAACTTATAAATAGTATAATTGTGATTTTTTTAATTCGGAGACTAGAAATTGAGTCTTGTAAATAAACCGTATAAAAAAATACTTTGAAGAATTTTTTGAAAAATATGTATATATAAATCAAGCTAACTGTACATTTTGGACACATTGTATACATATTGACTAAATAATTACAATAACGTGATTTAATACAAAACTTCTTCAATATGCACAAATCGACTCTATACATGATTTCATCAACAAATAAGACTTTTTTTTTGGTAAAGAACAAATAAGACATGGTAATTTGATGCAGTTAGGAGTTTTTTTTAGTGTACAATTATAGATCAATTTATTTGGGAATTAACATGGAATATAGTAAAATGCTATGAAGTTAAGAAGAAACATGAATAGAAAATACTATTCAATACAGTAAATTAAACATTTTGCCCACAAGAAAGAAGAATTTTCAACCAACTTAGTCTAGTGATAAAAAAATTGTTTTAATTTGACAAAAATCAAACTTTAATTCTTATTTTTGATGAATAATTAATTATAATTATTCTATCATAATAGTAAAATTAGACTTATTTAGCTTAAAAATAATTTATTAATTGATCAAAAGTTAAACGAATTCTGACATTAGCCTTAGCTCATTATAAAAATTGGCTCCACTTTGTTTTTGTTTTAGTTGATGCAAAAAGTAATTCACGAAGATTCTATTATTTCTAAATATTAAAAGAATATCTTTTTCAGCCTTAGATGAATATTATCTTGATTTTTTTCTTTTTGATAAAAATTGATATTATTTTTTTTAAAAAAGAGCAGTCTAAATTATAGAGTTATAACAATTAGGTGAGAAACCCAAAAATAATAGAAAAATATAGAGGTTGTTCTTTGGCTTACGAATCTTATCTTGGATTATCAACAAAAGATCAACAAATCCGTAAGTACTACAGAAACGTACTTGCTATCAATCCAAGAACACAAGAATAAAGATAAGATTTTTATGATTTCTTTTCAACATTCACTAGCATATATACCTTTCTGAGAAAATCTAGCTCGAGATACTGCACGAAACCCCATACACAAAACTTCGTACTTTCTGTGCAGAGTTGAAAGACATTTTTTGTACCTTTGTACAATGAAAGAAAAATAAATAAATAAGAAATTAGTATTTATGTTAAACTTCGTATTATGGCTATATATATATATATATATATATATATATATATATAATACTCAAAGTCTTTATATATATTAATTTTTATTATATATATTAATTTATTTTTATATAATCTTAAAAGTTTTTCATACATTTTTAAATTTTTAATTATATTTCAATAATTAACCTGTCCTTTTAATTAATTTTTTTGATAAAACATTTTTTAATTAAAATACCCCCATTGAATAATAATAATAAAATAAAATTTTAAATATTTCAAAAATAAAATATATAAGTAATATGATTTTAAGAATTTTTATTTTTTTATTTTTATATTTTTGCATTTTTGTAAATGGCATTTTGGTCAAATTTTTTCTATAATTAGAAAATTCAATTGGAATAATAGATTGAGCATTTTAATTTTTTTCACAAACATGTAGTATGTAATTAAAAAATTAAGAATAAATGAGAGACTTTGAGTATTATATAAAAACATATGTGTATATTTATTTAAGAAAAAATTACAATCAAACTAAGAAATAGTTGGACTTATAAAGATTAGTTTTGATAAAGAATCCATTATAGTGTTTATTAGATTTTTTATCCACGCTATGCTACAGAGTTGGATAAAATATATAAAATTATTTTTAAAAAATTATTTCATTTTGATGTCCCGTGTTATATAGTGCGTTTACCAAAATACATCAAATAAAAAAATAAAAATTCATTCAATTTTATAATTTTTTATAAAAATTTTATAGTTGGTCGACTATTCTTTATATTTTTCATAATTTTTCTATTAAAAAAAATTATTTATTTATCTCTACCCAGATACTAAAATTTTTTTAATAGTATAAAAAAATGTCAAAACCAATGGATTCTTAGGTAAAAACTTATTTTATAATTTTTTTAAATATTTTTTTGCCTAAAATTTTTTATTGAAAAATCGGAGAAAAAAAGGACAAAAGTGACCAAAATAAAACAAAAAAAGGGACCAAAACCAAACAAAAAAATTTACGGATTGAAAAAATAATATTTAAAAAAGAGAGACTAAAGTGTAATGTTTTAAAACTTTTCTTAAATTTTTTTATTTAAAAAAAAAGAGAAAACGGACCAAAATAAAAAAAACAAAGAAAAAGGACCAAAGTGATCAAAATAAAACAAAAAAGGACCAAAACCAAACAAAAAATATTTATGGATTGAAAAAATAATATTTAAAAAATAGGGACTAAATTGTAATGTTAGAAAAAATTTTCTTAAATTTTTTGATTTAAAAAAATAGAGAAAAATGGACCAAAATAAAAAAAATAAAAAAGGACCAAAGTGATCAAAATAAAACAAAAAAGAAGGATCAAAACCCAACAAATATTTATGGATTGAAAAAATAATATTTAAAAAGAAGGACTAAAGTGTAATATTATGAAAACTTTCCTTCAATTTTCCGATTAATAAAAATTAGAGAAAAAAAGACTAAAACGATCAAAATAAAACAAAATAAAGGGACCAAAACCAAACAAAAAATATTTACGGATTGAAAAAATGATGTTTAAAAAAAGAGATTAAAGTGTAATGTTATAAAAACTTTCATAATAAATGTTAAAAAAATATTTAAAAACTATAAAAATGCCACCTGCATAGTGAAAGAAATAATGCAATTGAGTTGAGGCAAATAATACATTTGAGTTTAGGTGAACAATGTTTCGAACAGTGAATGAATAATAACTTAACATTTTACTTTAATTTTATGTGTAATTTTTCTAAGACTATGGTAGAAAGAAACTGATTTTAAAATCAGGTTTGAAATAATATTAAAATTACCTGAAACCATATTAATTGATTTTATTTAAAAAATCAAGGTCTGAATCTCATCAATGCACACACCTCGAAATTAAAAAACAAAAACAAGATAAACGAATTAATTAATAGAATCGAATTATAATCACTGCTTCCTATACATCAAAAAGACAAATGTTCTTCCTTATGAATATTATTATAACCCCTGAAAAGTAACATCATTTTCAGTATCCCAGACCCTGGTGTTTCGGTAATCACTGAATCAACATGAATTTTGGGTTTTGAAACCCTACTAATAATACTTCTTCTCGTGATTGTTATTTATTCATCGCCTCCCTCGTCTCTTTTGTGTGCATACCAGCTAGCTAGCTATTATCTTATATATAAGGCTGCAACAACAACGAAATGGACCATACCATCATACCTACCATACAGCTTCTAAGTCCTACCTAGCTAGCCCTTCTTTTTTATTTCTAGTGATAAAACAAACAAAACCTTGCCCCCAACCCAATTCATTCCATCCATCCTTTAAATTTTCACAAACCGTTAGGCTTTTGAAACACAGAATGACAAGTAAATGGCATCTGGGAAGCCACTCTGTGCTCTAGCTAGCTGCAACTCTACTTAAAAACTCTAACCCATCATAGGCCGGCTCATGACTTCCTTTTCACGTACCTACCTAGCTTTCCCTAGCTAGTTAGTCTTCTTTTCTTACTAGAAGTCTCTCTTTTATCTGGCATGTTATATGTTCCCATCGAAGGGTACACATGCAAATCCTTTCACGAGCATGATCATTTCTAGCGTTTGACACACAAATAGCACTCCTAGCTAGCTGTGCAGAGCCAGCCATGAAGGAAGAGATAATAACCAGAGATCCAGTGTATACATATTTTATGTGTTGCATGTCTTATGGATCTCCCAATAAATGACCACGAAAAGATGCTGTGCCTTGATGATGCATCTATTATTCTAGGGGAGGATGTCCTTAGAAAATATTATTAATAACATAGCATAACTAGGCTTGGTTTTTTTACCATAAAAAACAAGCACCTCTTGGGATTCGAGTAAGGCAAAGGCTGTTCCCTGCGGTTATTCTGGCCACTTCCTACAGAATTATTAATCTGCCTACATATTTCTTACGAACTTGCACTGCAATGAGCTGTCTAAGTACTATAGCATTAACAAATTAGGAAGAACCAATGTTATTGTTCCCCTTTTTTTGAACAAGCAAATCCATGACAAAACTTGTATACACTTGTTTTTTTAAAAAAAAAAAAAAGAAAAGAAAAGAAAAGAAACTTGAACCCTCCGAATTCTACTAGACATGGTTTTGATTTTGGACTAATTAGTGCTTGTCTCTTTATATTTTAATTATGTTTCAATATTTTAGTACTCATTATGTCTTTGTTATAATAACTTTTTCGAAACAATAATCACTAAAAGTTAGAAATCAATTGTAAGAAGGTTTCAGCTCTTTCAAACGTAAAAAGAAAAACAGTGTTTCAATTTTTTTTATTATAAAAAATTGTTGGGAAAACCTTAATCTAACGTCTAATACATTATGCTATTATCAATTGCATACCAAATTTTTTGGTTGTATCAATTTTGTTTCAAATGTAACGAATATTAGACAATGTTCATTTTAAATACATTCGTTGTTGTGTTTTTGTTTTGTTTTTTTTAACAAACATGGACAGTATTTTGATCAATTTTATTAATAAAAAAATATACAAGAAGGGTCAAAAAAGTGTAAGCCTTATAAAATAAGCATTACATCAGTTATTTTCTGGAAGTGTAAATTCTAATACAATCATGCCTCAGGGCTTACGAACTTCTCTAGAAAGGTCTGCATACCTGTTAAAAGAACAAAATGAGTTGTGATTGTGAGCTAAATTAGGTAGACAATCAACTATATTATTTTTTTTACGAAGAACATGTTGACAATGATAACAAACATTAATTTTTTGACACCAGCGGAAGTGATGAATGTACATTCACTCTCACCAAAGAATCTGGTTCCATATCTGCGCCTTATTCATTATTCCGCATCATGAATAATTTTAGAGTCAAATCATAGTAAATTTTCTTTTATACGAGCTAGTGAAATGGATACGATAAAAAGGAAAATTTTGTCAGGATCTAATGCTAAACCTATTTTTTAAGACATGTTAAGTATTATTATTTTGACTTCTTGAATGAAAGTAATTAATGAACACCCGATTCTATTTTGAAGATTAACAAAGTTTGTCAAAAAAAAAAAAAAAACATTTTTATGAATATTTTGTCTAAAGAAATAATAATAATAAAAAACATGTAAAACAATAATAAAAATTCTCCTATAAAAGTACAAAAACTAAGAATGCAATTTAATAATATAATGTTAAAATTTTTTATGTAAAACAGCGTAGTGCAAAACACTCTTTTTTCTTAATTTCATACTGCATAGGAGAAAGACAGCTCGTCTAACATACATATTATATGGAGTTCTCTCTCATCATGGCAGATTTGGCTTGTCTCTAAAATTGCCAACATAAATTAACTTCTGCCTGGCAAAAAAGAAGCTAGCATTGTCAACATATAAATTAGCATCTACCCGGCCAAAAAGAAGCTAGTACACTGGCTATAGTTGGATCCAAAAAGCCAGAACAATCAATAAACTCCATGACTCTCCATATTGATGCAAAAAGATGATGGTCAATATCATGGATAAAAAATCACCAGGAATCGTGAATTATGGCGATATGTTGTTAACAACAAAATACAATTAATCACTTCTTGATCATAATAATTTTAATTAACTTCAATCTTACTATAAAAAAACATGCAATTAGCGACAAATTATTCCGTTGCTAATTCGCTAAAATCCATCATCGAAGTAGCTTAGCGACGACAAATATGTCCGTCGTAAAACGCTTGTCGCTAAAATTAGTGACGGAAAAATCCTTTCTATCACTATATTTGCGATGAAATTTTCGTCTTTAAAATTTATGCATCCGTGGTCGCAAGACCCATCATAACCGACGTCGTTGAGTCCATCACCGAATAATGACCGATATGCCGTTGCTAATATCCAAAGCTAAGTGCAATCGTTGGTATTCCGTTGCTAGAAGCAAGGATTTTTTCGACAATCCGTTGCTAATTAATTTTGGATAAAAAATAAAATTACATTTTGTTTTGTTTGTTTGTTTTTAAATTATTAATATTGTATGTAATAATTGACAATTACAAGTAATAACGTATAAATTAAATATAAATTAATATTAACAATAATATTCAGCAATACGTTTGATTAAAAAAAAAAAACAAAGTAACAAAAGGTGTTGTCGGTCATTCCGCTCGTCTAATCCCCTGTCCTCCTCTTGATACCGAGTGAGGAGCTCGGAGAGAGGCTGGACGAGAGGTTGTGTGGGAAGAACGGTAGAGTTTTGAATGATCGATGGATCTATAAGTAATCCAGATTGTACGTGCCAGCCTCATCACTAAGGAGGCCATCATCTCGTACTAAGAGTTAAGTTTATGTATAGTACTTTGCTATCGTGTGACTAGGTTTTGAAGCTCGTCTTGTTTCACCCGCATCCCTTTTATCACTTTCGTTGTCGCCACGTAGTCCTTCCGAAGCTTGTCATTAGCGGTGGTCGACAGAGTAATGCGACGATGTAGAAATAAAGCCGCCGCCACTCGACCGGGACGAGTAATGCACCACCCGTATGTGTACACTATATACCCTTTTCTTTTTCTCCCCGATAGCCTCGAGATATATGGCATTCTTGTCAACTTTTGGCTTTAGGATTCCTTTTGTCTACTCGCATCGCAACCGCCTCCCGGATGAGTTCCACAAGCTCTTGCATAATCGAAATAATGATATCATCATTATAGGATTAAAATAAATTTTAGATTATCTTTCCATAAATAAAATTTGAAATTGAAAGACACTTACAATTCTTTGCTAGGAGTGTAGATCGATAAAAGAATAATCTTGCCGCTTGTGAGTTATCCGAAACAATTTAAAACTCGTTGGCTCACGACCCAATCTTGCCTCTCGCAAAAAAAATGCATTACAAACAATATAAGATGAAAATTGAGATTTTCTGAAATATGTAATTAATAATAAAAAATGTGTAATTTACTAAGCGACGGGCATGCTCTTCCGTGGATATGGAGCCCCCGTATGCTCGGAAGGACTCATACCCCATGTATGCCTAGAAGGACTCGCACTAGGGCCATCGGTCTCGGATAATTGGTTCTACGATGCTTGCTTTGAACAAACCATGCAATCAAGTCTCGCAAAATCTAATCGCCACGTGTTCCGGACCTCCCGTCTAATAAAAGTAGGTCGATCGGCTAGTAAACTATGATGGTGGACAAAGTTAGCGTAAACTTTTTTTGCTAGAGCCTTCTATGTTGCTCGACAAACATCTCAATGGTCGAATCCCAGTCAAAATATTTACGCACGAACAAAAATAATTAATATTAATAGCTTTATTTAATGAAAAACTTTTATTTTAATTATAAAGAATGCTCTTCTCGTAGATATGGAGCCCCCGTATGGATGGAAGGACCCGCACCCCTTGTATGCTTGGAAGGACCCGCATCGGGGCCACTCGTCTCGGATAATTGATTCCACGATGCTTGCTTTAAACAAGCCATGCAATTAGGTCTCACAAATTTTGATCGCCACGTGTTCTAGACCTCCCGTCTAATGAAAGCAGGTCAACCAGGCTAGTAAACTATGTTGGTGGACAAGGTTAACGTAGCCTTTTTTTGCCGAGCCTTCCATGTTGCTCGACAAGCGTCTTAATAGCTGAACCTAGTCAAAATATTTTTGCACGAACAAAAAAAATTAATATTAACAACTTTATTTAATGGAAAACTTTTATTTTAATTATAAAGAATGCTCTTTTATAGATATGGAGCCCCTTGTATGCTTGGAAGGATCCGTACCCCCGTATGCTCGAAGGACTCGCACCGGGGCCATCGACTCGGATAATTGGTTATGCGATGCTTGCTCCGAACAAGCTATGTCGGGTCTCGTAAAATCTAATCGCCACGCGATCCGGACCTCTTATTCAATAAAAGCGGGTCGATCGATCGATAAACTACGCTGGTGGACAAAGTCGGCGAAGCCTTTTTTTCCGGAGACTTCCATGTCACCGTGACAAGCGTCTTAATTGTTGAATCCTAGTCAAAATATTTCCACACGAACAAAAAAAATAAATATTAACAACTTTATTTAATGAAAAATTTTTATTTTAATTATAAAGAAAATTGATATACGTTACCCAAAATTCACCTAAGTAGAATTGTTTAGTGACGTTGAAAACGCATTTCTAGGCCGATCCACCGACGTCCAACTTGCTCCATAAAAATTATAGTTATCCTCATGGCATAATCTCTACTAGACGAAGTGAAACTATCGAATATCAAATAAAAAAAAGGTGTTAAAAAAACACAAAAATTATTGAAATGATATATTAAAGTGAAAAAATAATTACGTATCATCCTTGAGCGATAAAAATACATCGCCAACTAGAGGAGCTCCGAGAACTATCCGGAACGCCAAATATGTTAGCGAGATGGGCCACTCTTAGAGGTCGACGCTAAAACCTCTAGTGTCGATGAGGGAACATCTACCGTTAGTGCGGGATGCCATCCTAAATGGCCGTTATAGGTGTGTTGGGTCCATAGTTACGAGAGTCACAAGACCCATGTAAAAGGCATGTAGTTGGAGATCTACGATCGATACCGGTAAGGGATCTTAGTGGACTACAATCGATCCGTGATGCTCATCCATGATGATTGAAAATGTGATCCCGTATTGACTGCGGGGGATGACGTAAACCACGAGTCATTGTTGTATGATCTAAGGTTAAGCAAAAAGACAAAATATAACAAATATATTATCGAATAAATTAATAAAAAAATTAAAAAATACATCATTTACTACTAATACAAAACAATCAAAATACACAATGAACAATTGAAAGATGTATGAAAATCGATATTATCTACTACATGTAACAAACTAATAAATAAATAAAAATTACATCATTTGAGACTAATACAACAAATAAAATATGTTTTTAATTAAAATTATCGTAATAACTCGTTTAAGTTATCATCTCCGTCATCCGAAACATTTTTACACTCATTATCGTCTTCGTTAACCACACTTACTTATGTATCAACAAACGATCCATTTGGATCATTAAACAAAGTAACGTGCTCAAATTTCATTATCAATTCGTGTTAGATTTTCGGATCGTCCTGCTGAAATGGTTCAGCATTTTGTTGGATGGAAGCCGATGAATCGAGCAAGTCAAACACAAACCTAGCTTTGATCTTAAACACGACCCACTAATCTCGGTTCTCGCACTTTAAGTTAGGATACTCGATATAATACACCCGAGTCGTTACTAATGTTCACTTGTTGATCCGTCGCTAAATTTACCTTCTTCTCATTCTTCGTAAATCCGTCGTTAATTAGTAGCTATTTAGAGACGGAATGTAATTCATCGTTAAAATCTATCACCGATTGTCTATTTTTTTGTAATATCTCCATATATATATAAAGTTGGGAGTTGAAATACTCCATAAAAAAAAAGTTGTTTAAGTTCATGATGCATTTAAAAGGGTAGTTTCCTCTGTATTTTTATGCTGCTATATACATAATTTTGAGGTCATCATAATCATAATAATTCCTAATCCCACGGTGTAAATAAAAAAAAAAACCAACCGAAGGACCATTTTGCAGCTATCTACTTTAACCAATGATAGTTTATCACGTAAACACACATGACAAACTTTAGTCAATGATAATTTGTCACGTCACCAATTTAATTACTCAATTTGTTCCTACTATAACACGTGATAAATTATTATTGATCAAAACTTGTCACCGTATTTATGTGACATATTAAGCTCTTAAATTGAATAGAAAAAAACATAGAATCTCAATTAAAAAAAAATTCAAATTATATAAAGTCTCGATACATGCAGAACTCAATTCAAATATATATATTTTCCATCGTGAGACTCAATTATGTTGGTCTAATCCATCCCTTTCTCTTCTCTACAATAATCACATTATAAAACGATTAATTCACAAATTAATTATGTTCTAGATGCATAAATTCGGAAGTCAACCCATCATTAAGTACTGTTGGGTGGATACATTTTCACGGCTTTATTAAGTTTGCTTGAGGCAATTGATTTACATTGAAAAAGATGTCTTTCTAATCCCCTAAAAAAAAAAAAAATTAAAGACTTGGAAACAAGAGAAGGTTCATCCTTTGAGCTACGTGGAATCTCTATATCAGCTTCAATTGCGCACAGGAAATTGTGATTTGATAGAAATTTCTTTGGAGACCTGCCTTTTAATATTATAATTTATAAACTATACAATTCACTAGCAATAAGTTTCAAAAAATGAATCAATTAATTTTCTCTATTTCAAAAACTAATTATTCAATTTTTAAATTTTCTTATAATTTAATATTTTTTGTTCTTGTGACCTTTTATTCTTTAAAAAAATAAAAAATTTAAAATATAGAAAAATTGATGACAAAAAAAAATTAAATAAAATAATATTAAATTAAGTGCATTCAATTTTTTTCAAAAAACTAAAAAAATAGTTTTTTAAAAGAACTATTTAATTCTTTTCTGAAAACTAAAAGGAATAATTATTGGATTATCAAAGTAAATGATTTTTCTGAACTCTATCAATTTGTCTAGAAAAGTTTTCTTTACAATTGAAAAAAAAAAAAAAAAATCAAAGAGAACAAGACAGAGTGCATTTAGAAACAATTGAAGGTCCATCTTAAAGCTTCGATTGGACACACAGTTGGGCTAGAAGTCTCGATCGGGGCCTGGGTGCCGGTCATCGTAATGTGGGCCTCCGGCTTTTTGGCACCTACGGTTATGGAATCGAAGCAATTTTATTTTAATTTTTTCGGACTCAAGGAACAATCCTTGAAAGAGGAGGAAAAAAAAATACAAAGTTTAATGCTTTTTTATAATTTAATTGAATATAAAGGATATTAATAAAAATTATACTCATATTAGCCTAAGTCAATTCTAAACTTGTTGTAACTAGTTTAGTTAGTAAAAATTACTTTTACATGATACCAAGTAATTTAATATCAAGTCTTGTTTAAATAAACTATGAAGGAGTTTAGATATTGTCAAATTCAAGTTAAAATAAAATAAAAAACATAAACATTAGTATTTTATACATATATGCAAAATATTTATACTTTTTGTATTTAATTAATATATATGTGTGTGTGTATATATATATATGACAAATAATAAATAATAATCGTCGAAATTCAATAAATCGAATATAAATATCCAAATTTTTTACTCACTATAATTGATAGAGTATGGATATACTAGAAACTCAACCTATATATGATCTTAGAGTTAAGCCCAGCATCTCTACTAAAAAAGCTCAAGTATTAGCCCAAAATTTATGATCATGGATTTGAGCCCAACATCAGACAAAATAGATACAAACTCAAAGAGGTTTATTCAACAGAACGTTTTTTTTTTTTTTCTTCTTCTTTTTGATTTTGTTATAGATTTAACTAGTTTTTTTACCCGGTTTATATATGCTGTGGATCGGATAGAATACATAAAATTATTTTAAAAAAAATTATTTCAGTTTGATGTCTTTTTTATATTGTGTGTACGTCAAAATATATCAAATCAAAACTGAATAAAAATTCATTCAATTTTATAATTTTATAGTAAAAACTTTGGATTTGAAATTGAGACTCAACAAATGTAATTAATTAAATTTCAAAACCATTTTCCATGATCTCCACGGAGACCATAGACATGGAGACCATGGACTGCTAACTTAAAGAACACACAGGAAATTGGGGAAAAAAAAATCAGCAAAAATTCCTAGCCGTCCATCTTTTTGGAGTTTTCATGGCTTGATCCAAATGGTGGCAGCCGGAAGGCTAAAGATACCCCAATAAATTGTAAAAAATTAATTAACTTGGAAAAACAGAAAAAATAGAAAAAAGCCAAAAGAATTGGACGATCCCATATCATGACTCAACCGTTTATTTACACGACTTTAAAAATAATAAACACATGAAAATAGCTAGAATACTTAAAATTTCCAAAAAATAATGAACACTTGAAAATAACTAGAATGCTTAAAATTCCCAAATAAAAATTAACATTAATTCACATCATTTCCTATGTTTTCATGTCCTTCTCTCTTTGAATTTTTCCACCCCATCATACCCATCATAATCAGTGTCATCATCATCCAGATGATTATAGTCTTCATCTTCATCTTCATCAACCATGTCTTCCACGTCCGATATCTCCTTCGTCCTCCCTAGAGCACCATTGAGCCATTCCACCACCTTCATCATCCTCGGCCGATTCTCCGGATTGCTATCGGTGCACCGCATGGCAATCATGGTTGCTGCCTGAAGTTGTGCTCGATCATATCTTCCCTTCAACCTAGGGTCAGCAATACTATCAAATGCACCCTTTTGGACAAATGGGGTGACCCATTGAACAATATCACGCTTAACCCCTCCAGGGAGCTTCTCTAATGGTTTTTTGGCACTGATGATCTCTAAGAGTAAAATTCCGAAGCTATAAACATCACAACTCTCCGAAACTTTTCCCCACATAGCGTATTCTGGAGCCAAGTATCCTAGGGTTCCCTTCACCCTGGTGGTCATGTGAGTAACCCCATTTGGAATCAACTTTGCAAAACCAAAATCTGCTACTTTTGCTTGAAATTCTGTATCTAAAAGAACATTACTTGCCTTTATGTCCCTGTGTATTATATGAGGATTGGCCTCGTGGTGCAAGTACCTAATTTTCAAAGACGTGACAACATAATTTATGAACAACTTAGCAAAAATTGAAGATCCAAAGAAAAAAATCCAGCTAAAGAAATTAATTAAAACAGTATATGGATTAACAACTACTTACGCTAATCCCTCGGCTGATCCGATAACTATGTTCATTCTTCGGTGCCAATCTAGTAAGCAATCGACGGCGAGCTGGCCATGTAGATGGGCAATCAAGCTATGGTTAGGCATGTAATCGTAGACTATTAGCCTTTCATCTCCACCTGCATAAAATCCTCTCAAACTTAACAAGTTCTTATGCCTCACCCTTCCAAGTATCTCAACTTCCACTGCGAATTCCATCTCCGCCTTCGCGCTCATCGCCTTCAGCCTTTTAACTGCTATCTGCACGAGTAAATTAACTGAATATCTAATTAAGAATCCAAGAAGACTAGATTAACATAATTTGAATGTTATGGCTCAAAGAAACTATATATTGAAAATTCAAGGAAAAAAAGAAGAAGATGGTCAAGATTGTTGCCTCAATGCCAGTACTTGTCCGACCCCAGTATACACTTCCGAATCCACCTTCTCCAATCTTGTTATCATCATGAAAGTTGTTGGTGGCATGAAGGATCTCCTTGAGAGTGTAGATTTCCCATGGATATTCCCTACTACTACTACTATTATTATTATGTGCCCTAAAAAAATAAGGAAAATTTAGTACCAATCATTTAATGATCTGTACAACCTTAAACTATGAAAAAATATACATAAAACTTGGTGTACCATACCTGATCTTTGGTTCTTCTTCTCGGGAGACAAAACAAAAACATTTCAAAATCATTTTTTTTTGGAGCTGCAAGATATGATTTAACCAAGAAGATATATAAGCAGACTATTCAAAGGTGATTCAGGCAAGAAGAAGCAGAAATATTGGAGAGTTCAAACCAGTAGAGAAGGAGTCTAGAGGTGAAGACAAAATGCAGCGTTTGGAAGACAAAGTATATTTGCTGGTAATCAATGGTATAATGGTGTGGAAACAAAATAAAGTTTGTTCATAAGAAGCTTACAAACTGCTTGGATTCTAGTGCTTGTTAGCTTCTATGAACCTCTTTTTCTTCCTTTGGAAATGTAAGATTATTAATTATTTTATCAATACTTAATGCATTAATTTATATGTTTATATAGTTTATACGACTAGTGTATTAGTGACAATATATATTTTCTGCTATGGAAAGTGATATATATTTGATGATTTTTGCTTACCTAACCTGACCTTCTACTGAATTGACCACCTTTTTTTAGTGTTTAATGCAGTTTATTAGAGCATCTTAACCCTGAAAAAGAATTGATTTTTTTTTTTTTTGTTTGAATGAAAGGTTAAGTAATAATTAATTAAGAGGTCTTAATTACATAAAAAAAACAGACAATCACCAGCAGCCTGCTAATTCCAACTCTTTTCAAACCGGAATAAATATTCCTAAACATGTCATTGAAGTAATAATTGGGATATGCAAAGGCATCAACCTATTTTGGCCTGACTTCTACATACTGTCCATATTACAAACAAATATATAATAAGATAGAAAATTGTCAATTCAAAGGTCTTCAAAATTTTTGACCCAAAAGAGAAAAAAAAATCATGGAAATTTTTATTTTGGGAACCAGGCCTTTTGAACCAGAGGTGGTCGAAAAATATTTTTAAATTCTTCCGCTGATGTTGAATATTCCTTTGGGTTTTTCCGTTGTGATATTTTGGCATTATTCCTAGAAGAAAATAGAAAAAAGAAAAAAACATGAATAGGCCTAATTTGATAGTTTTTATACAATGTCTTGGGCCCAAAGACAATGATTTTTGGGCTTTGCATATTAATCCTTTAACCAATCTAGCTCAAGGCCTCAAGCCCTTGAGCCCATAACATTTACAAACTTCCAAGAGCAGCCCATATTAATACCCTTGCCTTCGAAAACTATACGGTATAAAAATGTAGTATTCTAGAATACACAATACACACACACGTATACGTATGTATATACATGCATTTTGATTGTTTGGACCGCACCGCAACGGAAAGATTTTATCCTTCTTCTTTCGGTTCTCTTTTTCATATCTGAGAATCAAATTAATCTATTATAAGAATTCATTGTAGTTTTTGTTTATGTAAATCCTTGGAGTAATTTTTTAGACTGAGAAATTAATACATAGTTTTTCTCTGAAGAGTTTCTTCTCCTTGCGAGAAGGGTGATTATTAATATGGATTAAATCTTTTAATGAAATATTTATATTATTGGAAGTGAGTGGAAAAAATGTGAGTATATTTTTCTATATTACTTGCCGTCTCCTCGTTCCAAAAATAATCACCATATGAAAGCAAGTGGAAAAATAAAATGAATTTATGATGATTTAATTTACTGAAAATGTTTTCAATGCTTGATTAATAGACTATGTCATGCACCTTTTTTAATTCCTCTACAAATAGATTAAGCATTGTGTGCAAAGACACAAGAGATTAGACTGAAAAAATGGATTGTTATGACTTATGACCAATTCAAAGGATGCTAATTGTTAAAATTATACTAATTTCGAAAGCATCAACTAGATTTGTCGATAAACCAAAAGAGTTGCAACATCATAATATACCATTATATTGACAATGTCATACACAAGTTAGAATTATGACTAAGATTTAATATTTCTATATTATTTTCTTCTAATCCGACATAATATTTTATTTATTTATTTATTTTTACACAGAATTGATTCAAGATCGAAACTTGACAGAAAGAAAAATACTAATATATATGAATTGACTTACAATTCATCGACTAATACAATAGTTTTGATTTCTTTAAGTTGAGAACTTGTTGAGGCTTATCTTATTGATAAGTATAATTTATACATATATTTTATGTAAATATGGAGCTTGAATTCGTTAATTATGCATGTGATTTATGTTTTATTTGATATAAATTAATCCTCATATGCTTTGAATTTGTAGGTATAAAGATTAAAGAGAAGACTAAGAAGTAAAGCAAAAACAAGGACTGAAATGAAAGTAAAAAGCAAAAGTAAGGATTAAAGAGTAAAGAAGAAAAAAATGTTTGACCTAGACACCTTAAAAAAATCAATTCATCACATTCTGGAGAGACTTACGTGATTGACAAAAAAGAAGGAGATTGTAGTATGAAGGAAAAGGTGATAAGCATGATAAGGTTGACTTAAAACATGGCAATGTAAAACTAAAAGGAAAGTGACGTGGTGGACTAGAAAAGGAGTCTATAGCGGTAAAAGAAAGAGTTACAGGCATAGTGAAGGACTGGAGGATGACAGAGAGAGAAAAATAAGCAAAGTAAGCAGAGTTGCACGGCATTAAAAAGAAAAAAAGAGTTTTGCACGACAGTAAAAAAATTTGGTATATAAGGCTTGGGACTTGCATTGCAGAGGGGGATTTTGGACGGCCAGAGAAAAGAAGAAAATTGGAGCGGCAGTCGGAAGAAAAAAATACAGATTCATTATACAAGTAATTGAATTTTCTTTAATTATTACTTTGATGGATTATCGATGTGATATTTTATTTTTAGATCCAATAAATTTCTTGATGGAGAAAGAAAATGTTAAGTTAGGGATGGAGGATTTTAATTCTTATTCTATGTGATTAATTATTTTTCTCAACTCAAAACTTGATTCTTGATGTATGATGAATTTATATTGCTGCATTTAATACTTTAAGAGAGCGATTACCTCTTATTGATTTAATGACATGTGCTTGAGCTCGAGAAGAGAATTGTATGTGTTAGATCAAAACAATATAAATCACTAGTTTACTATTAATCGAAAGACAACTAGTTCTAGTGCGATAATGAAAAAGAGAAGTGCGTGATGGCATGCTTATTTTACATTAGAGGATTCCATTAATTGTAATGCATTTAGATCTTAATTTAAGTCACATAGAAATATGGATGATTTGTTAGGTGAAGAATAGGGTTAATCCGACTAGAGATAGCTTATTAACTCGTTCGGGGAATTCCGTCGTCAAATATATTAAGATAAACCTCAAAGTAGTTTGTGAGTTGAGTTAATATAGTTAATTGCATAAGTGAGGATTAAATGAATCTATCCTTAGCTACTTTCATATCATTTCATTAGTAATTTTCAATCCTACAACTTTAGAATAGAGTTTTAATTTAATTCTTTTAATTATTTTGATTAATTCAACTTATTTTAAGTTAGATAATTTTAGTAGTGTAATTTAATTCCTCGTAGGAACGATACTTTCTTACCCTTTATTGCACGATTAGATTGGATTTATTGCTTTTCGATTGTGTTAAAAAAGTAGTATCAAATTTTTGGCGCCGTTGTCGGGAGTTATAATTGCATATTGAGATTTATAATTGAATTAAGATTGAATTGTAATTTAGCTTTATTTATTTTTATTTTATTATTTTTATTTGCAATTTTTATTCGTCCTTTTCTTTTGCATTATTTAGTTCTTGTGAGTTATAGGTTTGCTAGTGCATGACCCGTACTAGTAGTGGCAAACTTGCGACTTTGATCCCGAGATTGAAAGAACATTTAGAGAACGTTTGAGAGAGTAGAAAAGGAGCATTATGGCATATGATGAAAATAAGGAGCAAGTAGACATGAGAACTCGACCGAGTATGCCACACCATCCTCGGAGGGAACAACCTCAAGTATTAGAAGGCCAACTCGTTGGTGCTAACAATTTTGAGATCAAACCGGCCATTATTCGGATGATCCAAACTAGTGTGCAATTTGGTGGATTATCTAATGATGATCCTAATTTGCATATTGCTAATTTTGTTGAGATTTGTGATACTTTTAGATTTAATGGTGTCGATCCCGATGCTATTAGACTTAGATTATTTCCATTTCTCTTAGGGATAAAGCAAAAAGTTGGTTATTGTCTTTTCCTGCAGGATTGATCAAGTACGTGGAATGACATGGCTCGAAATTTTTATCTAAATTCTTTCCACCCTTCAAAACTCGCTAGATTTAGGAATGACATAACCACTTTTGTTCAATTTGATGCCGAGTCTTTATATGAAGCTTGGGAGAGGTTTAAAGACCTTCTTAGAAAGTGTCCTCACCATGACTTACCCGTATGGCTTCAAGTGCAAACTTTTTATAATGGTATTAACTCTTCTAATCGTTCTATGATTGATGCAAATTGCAGTGGTACCATTATGAGAAAGACTCCGGATGATGCCTATCATTTATTGGAAGAGATGGCTACTAACAGCTATCAATGAGGTAATGAGAGAAATGTAAAAAAAGGAAGTGGTATTTATTCAAGTAGATTCATTTACTTCTCTAAATGCCCAAATTGTCGCTCTTAGTAAGAAAATAGATTCAATGAGAGTTATTGTAAATTCTAATCCTTATGATTTATGTGGACAAGTTAGGCCATGATAGTGCAACTTGTCAAGTGGGTAATCCATTTATGTATGAACAAGCTAACTTTGTTTCAAATACTAACGTAACGGGTTTTAACCCGTACTTCAACTCCTACAACCCTAGATGGAGGAGCCATCCGAACTTTTCATGGAGTAGTGATCAATCAAAAGGGCCTCTTGGCTTTAGAGCACCACCTCAACAAGAGAAAAACCTAATTTGGAGGATTTAATGTCCAAATTCGTCCGAATACCGATGTCGGGTTTCAAAGCCAAGAGGCATCCATTAAAAAATTAGAAGTACAAATTAGGCGAGTTAGCTACCATGATGTCCGAGAGATAACAAGGAGGCTCGCCAAGTAATATGGAGAAAAACCCAAGAGAACAAGTTAAGGCCATCACCTTAAAAGGTGGAAAACAAGTGGGGTATTTTGGTAAGGGTAAAGAAGAGGAAAGAGTATTCCTTAGTGATAATCTTAATGATAAATAGAACATTATGGAGGATAAAGAATTGAAGAGGAAACTCTTCGCGGACTCGAATGTCAAACCATATAGACCTCATGTTCCTTTTCTTGAAAGACTTGCACAAGCTAATCTTGATAAGAAATTTTTAAAAGTTTTAGAGGTTTTTAAGAAGTTGCATATTAACATACCTCTTTTAGATGCTATTTTACGGATGCTTAGTTATGTTAAATTCTTGAAGGATCCGATTGCTAACAAGAGGAAACTCGGAGGAATTTGAAACCGTGAAGCTCGAATGAAGAATGTTCCTTAATTATTCTCAACAAGTTACCGCCAAAGATGAAAGACCCGTGGAGTTTCTCTATACCTTGTACTATTGGTAATATTACTTTTGAAAAGGTATTATGTGATCTAGGAGCTAGCATTAATTTAATGCCTTTCTCTGTTTTTACAGAGCTTGGAATGAAAGATCCTTTACCCACTACTATTTCTCTACAATTAGTCGATAGAAGTATCGGATATCCTAGAGGAATAATAGAGGATGTTTTGGTTAAAGTTGATAAGTTTATTTTCCCAGTTGATTTTATTGTGCTTGACATGGAAGAGGATGTTAA